CACACACACACGCACGCACGCACCTCCTCGTGCTCGTGTTGTGTTGAATTCACCTCTATTGTCTTGTTTGCCCTTTACATCGACTGCAGGCGTCACGCGTTTCGTGGGACATCTCAGGAACCATCCTCACATCCGCAGGCCACGACAGACATTTTCCAGCGTTCCAATGTACGTAATTATTGTGTGTTTGTGTACATGTGTCAACCTGTCTGTCTGTATGTCTACCACACACACACACACACACACACGATCCCCTCAGACTGTAATTCATAGGTCTTCATCCAACCACCACCACCACCATCCCATCCATCACACCTCAGTGCTGCCCGGTGGCGAGTGGCGCGACTTTGACGCAGGAAAGCTTCCCTCCAAAGACATCGCACCAAAACATGACGATGACCAGGAGCAGTAATGCTTGGACCCGTGGTCACATGCGTGCACGCGCGCATGCGTGTGGCGACATGTGTATTGTACTTCCTTCCCCGCCCCCCCTCTTTCCAATCACATCTGCAGCTGCGGCTCCAAGCCGCCCACTTCGACGCGTACGTGTCTGCTGCATTTATTCCACCCCTTCGTATGTGTGTACACGCGCGCGTGCGAACGTAACAGCCAAATAAACGACACCACAGCCTCCCGTCAGCAACACCAGCGCCCACTAGTTCTTGCTCCTCTTCTTCTTGTTGATACCGCTGCTCTGCTTGCGCTTTCCAGACGGCTTGAGGAAGTACTCGCCACTCTCAATCTCCTTGTCGACCTGCGATGGCGGATCAGTGCCCGAGGTGAAGGGGTGAGCATGATAGTGGTGATGGTGGTGATGGTGGTGATGGTGGGGTTAGGGTAAGAACGGGGGTAACACCCGCGCCCACACCGACACAGACAGGTGCACACACAGACACACACAGACACAGATACACACATAGACACACAGACACACATATGCACGCACCTTTCTTGGCAGCTGCTCTGGCGGCAGGTGCGACGGCTCCTTCTTGACAATCTGCGTGTTTGACTTCTTCTTCTTCTGGTTTGTCTTCTTGAACTTTGGGAGAAAGCGATCCCAGGACTCGCCCTTGAGATCCTCTCGCTTCATCAGTTCCCGCTTGATCATCAGCGTCTGTGCACACATGTACACACAATTGTGAATGGTCGAAACAGGTGATGGCACACAACGAAGACAAAAGCGTCAACCATACAATACATTGCACACGAGAAGGACACAGAGCACGCAAAAATCCACATTCACAAATACACGCTGTGTACAGCGTACCTTGATGTTGTAGACGGGGTGGATGTTGTTCATGCAGTCCAGCACGACCTTGCGCACTTGCTTCAGCCCCTGGCAACCATCAATTCCACGCGTGTGAGACGGGATCGGGGTCATGGCTGGCCAAATTGAAGGCGACAGCACACACGTGGACATGCAGACGTGTAGACATGCAGCCGTACTGCCGTGCACATGCGAACACACACACACACACACAACACACACACATACACAGACATACATACAAACACACACACACACACAGACAGACAGACAAACACAGACAGACAGACAAACACACACACACATACAGACACACACACGCACACACACAGACACACAGACACACATGTGTTTTCTTTGATCACACGACACCTTGTATGGGCCGATGCAGGACACGGTGTTTCCCTGGACGAGCATGTAGCAGTCTGTGAGGAGCTCAATGGCCTTGAGCGTGGCGCCGTTGGGGCCAATCAGCCGCTGCCGTCGCTTCACAAACCGCTCCTGCTCGCCGACCCCCAGCAGCAGGCGAGGAGAGCATTGTCCGGTGGAGGGCACGTGTTACGCGATAGGACAAGGCAGACACGCAGCCACAAAACCATGCAGACGTGAAAACATGTGAGCTACATAGCCACAGAGCTCGCGCCTTTGCACTGTTCCTTCCGCCCTCCTCCCTACGATTGCACCTCCCCTCCCCCACACGCACCTTGTTGCGAACAATATTGGCAATCTTGATGACTTCGCATGCGATTTCGTCCTGAAGAACGCGTTTCGCGTGTTGGAAGGGCACACTTCTTGCCAGCAGTTTGATCACATCACGTGCCTGCAGGCAAACAACGTACATACACGTACACATGATGGAAGCGCCATCATGAGCACCCCAGTGACAACAACCACCAGGACACATGTACGAAAGGCAACCACGCCCTAACCTTGATGATGATGTATGGGTCCCACGTCTTACGTGTTGTGCGTACGGTCATGCTGCCCTCCACCAGATCCAGCTCAGCGACAATGTGCTGTTGGAGGAGAACCAAGTGGCCAGAGCAGGGGGTTCAAGTGGCCAGAGCAGGGGGTTCAAGTGCCGATGGCGTGTGTGTGTGTTCGTTTGTGCGTGTGTGTGTGTGTGTGTGCGTGTGTGTGTGGATGAGTTTCAGTGTGAGGAGTTGTTGGAACTGCGATTGCCACGTGAGTGCTTGCATTATCAACTGTGCTGACATCGGAAAATCCAACACAAAGACAGCTCAGCGTGCGCACAGCAATAAGAGCGAGAACAAGAACAAGAACAAGAAGAGCTGTTGCTCTCTTTTCTTCCTCTTCTGCGTCCCCATGTCCCCACCGCTCCTTTTCCAGTACGCACATGTTTCTTGAGCTCGCGCTCGATGTGGGGCCACCATTCACGGAGGTATTGTTCGCGGTACTTTGGAAACAAGGTGGAGAATGACGATTCCTCAACCAAGGTATTTTCCTGATCAACAGCAGTGGCCAACAGAGGTGAGTACAAAGCGTCAACTTGTTTGTTCTACGCGTGTGTGCGAGCAGGTGCACAACCAAGGGAACAATATACATGGGTGTGTGTTCGCGCAGATGGCATGCAAGCAAAGATGAGACACCCCCGTACCCCAGCCTCGTCCTTTGTGTATGGAATATTTGCCCAGTGGTCAATGCCCTCGTGGTCCCAAGCTGATGCATTCCATGAGAACGCCAAAGCAAGAAAAAACAAAAACAAAACAGAAAACACACACAGTGAGTTGGCGAGCGCATGAGCAGGACCACCACAGTGGGTGAGTGGTAGGTACATGGATGAGAGTACCGAGCAACAAGCCATCTCATGGTGTGCTGGTGGGCAGCAATAGTGAGGGGCCAGGGTACACGGGGTGAGAGGTGGGGTGAGTGTGTCACACAAACAAGGGGCACCGGTACAAACTCACGCTTGTCCTTGCGGTATCTCTTGCTCTTTGGCACATCCTTCTTTGGCTGGTCACTTGCTGGCGTGGCAGCCGCTACGGCCGCAGCCTTCTTGTCCTCCTTCTTCGACCCTTTACCTGTTTTCGATAGTGCAAGAGACGGAAGAAGGGTGTGTGAGTGAGTGAGCGTGTGAATGTAAGAGGGTGTGAGAGGGTGTGCCTCTCTGTTTCACAGACAGACAGGCAGGTAGACAGACAAACAAGCAGGCAGACCGACGGATAGACAGACATAGACACAGACACAGACAAACAAGCAGGCAGACCGACGGATAGACAGACACACAGACACAAACACACACACAGACACACAGACACAGACACAAACACACACAGACACACAGACACAGACACAAACACACACACACACAGACACACAGACACAGACACAAACACACACACACACACACACACACACACACACACACACACATACACACACACACACACACACACCCATGTTGCCTCGTGGTCCGCGTTGTGCAACAGTATTCAACAGCAAGAAATGTAGCCAGTTGTTGCGCTGCATGCGACGGGCCCACGCCAGTCAGCAAACAAAGAATAAAAAATATGCACCACGAGTATTTTTGGGGGCCCTGAATTTCAGGGCAGGTGTCAAGTTTGACAGGGATCGCATCAAAATCATCCACAACGAAAAGCCGGGAGCGAATCGGCAGGCAAACTGACGAACAACACAACACACCAGCAACAGCAAGCCAAGCCACCAAGCCAACAAGAAGCCAAGCTCAGCGAGAACAAGGTGAGGAAGGCACGCACCACCACCAAGCACCGCGCAAGTGCCTGTGAGCAAGCCTGTGAGCAAGCAAGCAAGCACGTACGGAATCCAGCAGCCTCCCCTCCTTATCTTCTTCACACCAACACCCATCCACGCACGCACACACGCATTCGCGGAGAGTGAGCATTGGTGAAGGAGTGGAGCAGGAGACCGTGTGCTCTGACACAACCCTTCATCCACCCAGCATCACGATCACACTCGTGGCCACGGTCAAGCACAGCACCCACAGACACAAAGCGCAGCAGCGCACACAGCGAGCGTGCCTCTCTTTCCCGTCCTTCACTCACCCACTTACACGCGCTCACACACGCTCCCCTCGCCCTCTCTGATATTGTCTATTTGGCTGGCACAGCGATATCCTGGTGTTTGCTACCCACCTTGTGCACCGCAGCAGCCAGCAGCAGTACCAGTTCTTTCTTTCGTCGGCTCTCGTTGCGCCTGCTGTATTCTCTTCTCCGACCCGCAGTCTGAGCGGCGAGTGGGTGAAGCAGCGCAGCACCATACATCCCATCCCATCAGCATCAGCAGCAGCAGCAGCAGCAGAAACACAAGCAGGTGGTCAAGATGGAGTGGACGGTGACATACCTGGGCAGCACAGATGTGCGGGACCTCGACCTTGATGAGACACAGCCTGTCCCAGATCTGACGCCACAGCTGCAGCAGGCAGTCAAAGAGATTCGAAAGGCAAAGCGACACCATGACCAGCTTGCCATCTCCGTCAACCCAGACTGCCTGTGTGCGCAGCCGCGACAGGCCGGCGGCCCCACCATCTACCAGCCCATCGGCAAGATTGTGTTTGTCAATCCGCTGACGGAGGGCGCTTTCAAGAAGGCATACATGTTCGCATACATCGCCACCACAGAGGGGACCCGTGTTGGTGGGCCCCACCCCAAATACGTGTGGTGCGTTTGCATTGCAGTCTCTTGTGTGTGTGTATGTGTGCGTGGGTGTGCGTGCGCGCGCGCGTGTGTGTTTGAGAGTGTTTGAGTGTCAGCATGTGTGTTTGCTCGCACGTGTGTGTTTGAGTGTTTGAGTGTTTGAGTGTCAGCGTGTGTGTGTGCTTGAGCGTTGTGCGTGCATGTGTACATGTGTGCATGTGCTCTGCACCCTGAAAGGGCCTTTCTCGTGTGCAACGACGTTCCTTTGTCTGGCAGCATTCCCGAGTTTCCACCACCCGTCCTCATCACACCACACACTGCCTATGTGCGTGCGCGTGTACAGCCATGCGTTCAAGTGCAAGAGCGACCCCGATGCAAACGCCATTGCGTTCGCCGCTGCCCGCACCATGTCCACCAACGCCCGCAGGAGGCCCCTCACCCCTGGTGCCGACATCACCCGCCAAGACCTGGAGAGCGCCGTGCTGTATTGGAACGCAAACTCGCCAAAGCTCTTCCACTTGGAGATTGGCAAGGACGACGTTGTCAGCGGCAACGTCAAGATCTCCTGCCAAGTGGACGCCTCGCTCAAGGTCTGCGTGTGTGTGCGTGTGCCTGCGTGTTTGTATGTGTGAGAGAGAGAGAGAGAGTGTGTGTGTGTATGTGAGTGTGTATGTGAGCGCGCACGCGCGCGCGCGCGCGCGCGAGAGAGAGAGAGAGAGAGAGAGAGAGAGAGAGAGAGAGAGAGAGAGAGAGAGAGAGAGAGAGAGAGAGTGTGTGTGTGTGTGTGTGTGTGTGTGTGTGTGAGTGAGTGTGAGTGAGTGCGTATGTGTGTGTGTGCGTATGTGTGTGCGTGTGCATTCGGTTTGATTGAGAAGTGCTCGTGCAACGTTGCCAAGCAACAGCTATGGTGTTTCTGACCCAGTTTCCTGGCGTACAACATTTACACACTTACACCCTCACACACACAGCAAGCACACAGCAAGCACACACTCACACATCAGCACGAAATTGCATTCATTCCTTCACACACCATGTATGCCCTCGTCTGATGTGTCTTTGTTCGTGGGTTTGTTTCAGACTGTCAGCAAAGTTGTCCGTCTCACCACCTCCATCCGCGGGGACGAGCTGACAAAGGTGCACATGCATGCACGTGTGTATGTGCGCGCGTTTGTGTGCGCGTTGGCTGCGCGTGGATGTTATTTGTATTCGTGTGGAAGGCAAGAAATCACCATGATATGAAGCAGCGCTCACGTGCTCCACAACCACCACTGCCACACGACCACCACACGACCACCACTTGTTTGCCACGTGGCAGCTGCTTGCGGAGAAGTTCAACCTGGGCGCCATTGACGCGTCGCAATACGCCGTCTTTGACTCGCGCGACACAGGAGGTGCAACCTAGGAGTTGTGTGTGAGGGGGGGGGGGGTTATGGGACAAGGGAGGGGTAGTTGTGATACCAACAGGCCCACGGGAACGAGAGGGTGACAGGAAGGGAGATAGATAAAGGGGCACATTGGCACAGAACGACCTCACGCACACATACACACACACACACACACGCACACACACACATATGCACACACACACACACACACAGACTCCTTTGCTCACCCACTCACCTCACCAACACCATGCATGGTGCATGTTGCGATCGCCGTGTCATTTGCAGAGCAAAACATGCTTGAGGACGACGACTCGCCCATCTTCATCGCCATGACCGTTTCTGACCCTTCGGAAGTGACTTTCCTGTTCAGGAAATTGCCGCCGGGCCTCGTGCGTGTGTCGCGCACAGACAACAGCGGATCCCGCACGAACATGAGCGCATCCAACGGAAGCATCAGCACAACCCCGAGCGTGGAGAGCGGAGCCGCACACCACCACCACCACCACCATCACACACAGCAGTCCCAGCAGCAGCAACAAGCACAGCAACAGCACGCTGACCACCACCAGCAGCGTGGCAGTGGCACCCTCTCCAGGCAACGGTCACAGGCTGGCTCCGACACAACAGGCGGTGAGTTGGGGAATTGCGTTGCCTCGGGTGCTCATGTGTTTGTGTGTGTGATTGTGTGTGATTGTGTGTGTGTGATTGTGTGTGTAACTGTGCGTGTATATGTGTGTATGTATGTGTATGTGTGTGTGCGTGTGTGTGCTCTTGTGCTCCTGCGCGCTTGTGCTCGTGTCATGTTTCGTGAGATGCGTGCTCATTCTCGCCATCTTTGTTTTTCCATGTGCACATCATCCCTGACCATTACCCCACCTCAACCACCCCCCGGCCACATGTGCGCATGCAGTGACGCTTGAGGACATTGGCGGGGAGACGAGCACGGATGAGCTGGACGTGTCGCCGCTGGGACCGCTGCTTCCGTACCACGAGGCCGACGAAGACCTCCTCCTCAATGTCATGATCACAAGACAGGTCGGTGGGAAGGATGGGGAGAGTGGAGGGGGCGAGGTTGCGTGGTTTGTATGCGTATGTGTTGGTGTGTACTTGTGTGTGTGTTGGTGTGTGTTGGTGTGTGTGTGTGTGTACTTGTGTGTGTGTGTGTGTTGGTGTGTGTTGGTGTGTGTTGGTGTGTGTTGGTGTGTGTGTGTACTTGTGTGTGTGTTGGTGTGTGTTGGTGTGTGTTGGTGTGTGTGTACTTGTGTGTGTGTGTGCGTTGGTGTGTGTGTGTACTTGTGTGTGTGTGTGTGTGTTGGTGTGTGTGTGTGTACTTGTGTGTGTGTGTGTGTGTGTGTGTGTGTGTGTGTTGGTGTGTTGGTGTGTGCGGATTGGAACAGCCCCGGTGGTTTATTTCGCTTTGCACATCTCCTCTCCTCCAACTCACACCACTTCCAACCAATCCCATCAACCAACCAACCCACTGCGTTCTCCTTGCTGCTGCTGCTGCTGCTGCTGCTCTCTCTCTCTCTCCCCACTTCTCTCTGTGCAGAGCGGGAACCTTGGCTTCAAGCTGACGCCGGCGTATCTGCTGCAGATGTGCATTGCATACCGCTCGCTCAAGGACGGGCCTGGTGCTCTGCGCCGTCTCCTCACGAAGATTGCTGCAGAGATCAACAAAGTCGTCAGGGTAAGCTGTGTCGTGTTGGCCGTTGGCGTGCATTGACAGACGTATCTGTGTGCGTGTGTGATGTGTATGTGTGTGTGTGCGTGTGTGCGTGTGTGATGTGTGGTGTGGGGTGTTTGGAGAGGGTGGGGGACGAGAAGAATGATTGAGAAACCACAGTGATTGAGGGTTGTGACTGTCAACACAGCCCACCTTGTTCGCCTTTGGCATGATTTGACGGCCGTTGACGTGTTCCTGTTACTCACGATCGCATCGCTCACGTGCACCGATTCCCCGCGTGTGCAGAATAATCCGGACGACCCGGACATGCTCCTGTTCTGGGCATCCAACACCCTCAAGCTCATGGGCTCTCTCCTCAAGGACGCCAGCGTCTTTGGTGCGCTGCTTGAGATGGAGAGGCAGAAAGGGGCACAGACAGACAGACAGACAGACAGACAGACAGACACACACACACACACACACACACACACACACACACACACACACACACACACACACACACACACACACACACACGCACGCACGCACGCACACACGCACGCACACACACACGCACACAATCACACGCGCACGCACACGCATACACACACACGCGCACGCACACGCATACACACACACACACAACCTCCATGACTGCTCACGCGTGTGCCCCTCCCATGCGTATCACATGTGTGCACAGCGGTGTTCACGAGCTGCGCAAAGCAGCTGCTGGAGGACACGGTGTCGCTCGCTCTTCGCGGGATCACGCGCTGCGCCGTTGAGGAGGACAGGAAACCATACGACCTCGAGGAGTGAGTTGGCTCCAAGGGAGGGAGGGGGCGTGTACGAGCTGTTGATGCAAGCGACGGCACACGAAGGCAGAGAGAACACACATGCAGCCACACACAGAAACACACAGAAACACACACACACACACACACACACACAAACTCAAGACACATAGGCACACACACACAAACTCAAGACACATAGGCACACACGCATACAAGAATGCTAACACCACGTTGCCATGTTGTGGTTGTGTCATCAGTGCACATTGGACGAACGACGTGGAACTCCGGGCTGTCATTGTCGACCACTACCGCACCCTTGACCAGAACATGTCGCACGAGAGGTGCAGTGGACACGCCTCGTTGCTGTTGGTGGTGGTCATGTTGCTGGTGGTCATGTTGCTGGTGAAGTTGGTGGCGGTGTTGGTGATGTCGTTTCCTTCATCTGTGTGTGTGTGTGGCCATATTCTTGGTTTCCGTCGAGCTGTAATGCTGCCATCGCGCGTTGCTTTTGCTCAACCATCACACATGCCTGTGCCATTGTCGTGTCATGGGGTGCAGCCTGAGGGAGGTCGTGAACAAGATCACAGCGGCGATGCCCTCGCCACAGAAGCAAACGCGAAGTGAGGGCTCACCTGCACACGCATACCCGTTGTCGCGTGTTCATATGCGTCCAACACACACAGACACACTCACACAGACACACACACACACAGACACAGACACACACACAGACACACACACGCACACACGCTTGACTGCATTGGTTCTCACGTCCAACCCTGCTTGTACACCTGCAACATCTGCACTGCAAATCATCAGCGCACATGCGGCGAACACCGCAACACGTAGAGGACGACGATGGTCGCAGCTCACGGGTGCGCACACCACGATGATGACGTTGATGACGGGGAAGAGGGGGGGGGGGCGAAGGGGGATTGTAGCAGTGATTCGTTTGCTTGTGTTACGAACGCCTGTCATACCCCTTGTCACGCTCACGCTCACGTTCAAGTTCACACACATATATGAACACACACACACACACGCACATACACACATGCACACACACACACATACACATGCACACGCGCCTCCCACCCCAGCATTCACACGGCAGCGACACGTCGACGCGTCTTGGGTTCTCGTCGCAGCAGCACCCGATGACCTCGACCCCCGTGAGCCAGCGCCGGTCGGATGACATGCACGTGGTGGATAGCATGGCCACTGCTGTGCACGGCGATGCGCAGAGCGATGCAGACGTGGGCGTGCTGCCGTCGCTGCCGCCAGAGTGGGAGGAGCTGGTGGATCACGAGACGAAGCACCGCTTCTTTGCCAACCACAAAACACGTCAGACAAGTTGGACCGACCCGCGGGACAAGCTCATCACGGTCAACCTGATCAAGGGCGATAAGGGCCTTGGACTCGGCATCTCCGGCGCTAAGGTGTTGCTGCCGTTGTTGTTATGTGTACCTGTATACATGCTGTGTGCACGCGTGCTGTGTGTGTGTGTGTGTGTGTGTGTGTGTGTGTGTGTGTGTGTGTGTGTGTGTGTGTGTGTGTGTGTGTGCTTCTGCACTTTTGTACACACGGGTGTGCCTTCACTGTCTTGATTGCGTTTTCTGCCACTCACGCTCCCCTTTCTCATGTTTTGTCTTTCGCACATTCACCTCTCCATCACCACCACTCCCACCGCCTCCACCACTGCTGCCGCCGCAGCGCACGCGTGACGGGCGGCTTGTTCTCGGCATCTTCGTGTCGTCGCTCGTGCCGGGCTCCGCTGCCGATGTTGACGGGACACTGCGCGATGGCGACGAGATTCTGGAGGTCAACGGCCACAGCCTCATCGGCGTCAACCGCGAGGGGTAAGTTGATTGTTGTTAGTGCTGCCGTGGAGTGTGTTTGTGTGTACCGTTTGTGCAGTGTGTGCTGGGTGTGTTTGTGTGTTGTGGTATGCGGTGCGTGTATGAGCTGTGGGTGTGGCTCGTCTTCTACACACACACACACACACACACACACACACACACACACACACACACACACACACACACACACACACACACAAACGCACACTGCACACTGCACACACACCTCCTCACCTCACGTCGCCCTCCTCTCTCATTGCCCTTTCTCTCGCATCCATTCACGCCCATTGTCACTCTCCACGATCCGCAGAGCAATCAACTTCCTGAAGCAAGTGCGCCATGGCGAGACTGTGACGCTGCTCGTGTCACAGGAGCCGAGTCCCGGCGACCACCTGCAGAGGCTCAGGCACACACAGCTCTAGCACACACACACACACACACACACACACACACACACACACACACACACACACACACACACACACACTCACACTTTCTCTCACTTTCTCACTCGCCGTGTTCATCTCGTGAGCGTGTGTCTTCTCCTGTGTGTGAGTGCCTGCATGCATCCTTCTGTATGCACGTTTGTTCTGTGTTGTCTTCGAACAACGTGCTGTGGCTATGTACATGATGATGACGTTGATGTGGTCTACAATGCAAGCACACGTGCTGTCTCTTCTTCTCTTTTTTCTTTTCCTTGTCTTTTCCGTGTGTCGTTTCTTTAAGTGCGAGGGGGAAGCATGCACTCACTCGTTTGTGGTCATGACGATCATCGCAGCACACACGTGCATTGTTCTGCTCGCTCCCTTCATCCTCGCCCCCCCCCCTTTTCTATGTCTTCTCATTCTCTCTCATCCTCGTCCTTCTTCCTTGCAGTGCTGTGAGTTCTTCTCCCATGATCTCCTTCTCCAAGTCGTCATCGCTTTTGTTGTTGCTGTTGCTGTTGTTGTTTGTTGTTGGTTCACGCGCCTCCTCCTCCCTCTTTTCTTTAGAACAGAGCTCGATTCACCAGAGAACACGTGTTGTTGTTGTTGAACAGCCTGGGCTTCACATTTCATATCATGGGCATCTTTGTCATCGTTGCTTCATCGTGTTTTTACTTGAGCGCAATTGTACGTGTGTGCCTGTGCGTGCGCTTGTGCGTGCACGTGTGCGTCTGCGTGTGTGCGACATGTGGCTTGACATGACTGTGGGTGTAGCTTTTGTCGTTGTCGTTTGTTCGAGTTGTTTGGAACCGGATGTGCGTGGTGTTGTGACCACACCTGAGTTGCTTGTCGCAAGCGGTTTTCGCTGTGTGCTTGCCTCCTTGACGCCCCTTCAGCAAGCAACATGATGGCCTTTGCCCTCTCGTGTGTATTGACCAACCCTGTAACAATACTGCTCTCACCAAAGAAAGAAAGAAAGAAAGAAAAAGAAAGAAAGAAAAGAAAGAAAGAAAGAAAGACTTTCCTTAACACTGCAACAACAGTGACCCCAAGCAAAAGTGAGAAATGGACAGGTGAGATGACAAATGGAAGGAAGGGAGGGAGGAGACAAACTCATCGCGCTCCCTCCCAAATCCAAACAGTTGCGACGATTCGTGGAAAATTTTGTCCACTTTTCTGCGCTGACACAGCACCAGCAGACAATGATGATGAGCGAAGACAACAAGAAGCAGAAACGAGAGGCAACAGCTCACGAGGAGCAACAGCAAGGTGGTGGTGGCGGCGGCGGTGATGCTGTTGTTACTGACAATGATAACAACGAACGAGATGAACACGATGTCCATGCCAGCACACACAACGATGGCAAGGAAGAGGAAGAGGAGGAGTTTGACATGGCGGCATTGGATCGCCTGCCTCAAGAGCTGCTGGAGCGCGTCTTTGGGGAGGTGCCATTGGAACAGCTCGTTGGCGTGGTGTCCAAGGTGTGCTTGAGATTCCAAGTCGTGCTGAGCGACATGCTCCGGCACAAGATTGACCTGTCCAGGTGCTTTGACACGGCCAACGTCACGGACCAGATGATGTATTCTCTGATTGAGTGCAGCGCGCACTCGCTGCGGGAGCTGACGCTGTCAAAGTGCCCCTTTGTGACCTCTGCGGGCATCAGCGCTCTCCAACGCTGCTGCCACCTGCACACCCTGCGCATCAGCCACTCATACGTCAGCGACTCTGCGCTCCAGTGCATCCTCTCGCTTCCGTCCTTGCGCGTGCTTGACCTTTGGGGCATCTCCAACACGGGCGTTCACAGGGTGTGTCGTGCTGTGCTGTGTATGTGAGTTCGTGCTGTGCTGTGTATGTGAGTGAATGAATGAGTGAGTGTGTGTATGTGAGTGAATGAATGAGTGAGTGTGTGTGTGTGTGTGAGTGAGAGCGTGAGTGAGTGAGTGTGAGTGAGTGAGTGTGAGTGAGTGAGTGTGAGTGAGTGAGTGAGTGAGTGAGTGACTGGTGTGTGTGTGAGTGTGTGTGAGTGTTTGTGTGTGCACACGTGCCGACGCACACGTGAGAGCGTGTGTGTACGTTGTGACTGCATTTTGAGTGCGAGCGCGAGTTATGTGCTGGCGCACTCCAGATCTTTGATGGCATTCACATGTTTGTTCCCCCCCACCTGATCCACCCGTGCGTTTAGAATGTGCACCCAAGGCACTGTAGAGTGGAAACGCTCATCTCCATCGACTCCTGGATATCAGGGGTGTTGTGGGTGTAAGTTGAAAATGCGACATGTTCCTGTTTCCGCCAACTGTTTCGTGTGACCCTGAAGCAGCGATTGTCTTGTTCTGTTCTGGTCGCACACACACACACACACACACACACACACTCACTCACACACACACTCACTCACACACACACTCTCTCTCTGTGCGTTTGCAACCGGTGCCTTATCCTTGATTGCTGGTGCGTCATGCTTGGTTTGTCGTGCGCGTGTGTGCGTGCTGCGTGTGTGTGCGTGCGTGTGTGTGTGTGCGTGTATTTCACACTCTCTTCAGTCAACTGAAGGAACTACGGTCTCTCACTTTCTCCGAAGCGTCTTCGGGCGACGTTGCCAACATCAACAACCTGGCTGGGGTGGGTTGAAAATGTGTGTGCTGTGTGCTCATTGCAATCGTGCTTGTGCTCGTGCTCATGTCTGTGAGCGAGTGAACCTGCGTGTTTGTTCGTCTGCGTCCCTTCCCTCATCCGTCTCATCGTCTCCCTCGCTGGCCAACTGCTCCCATCATCTCATGTCCACTAGGAGACGGGCAAACTGGAACACCTGTGTCTGCAGCGCAGCCGCTATCTCCGCAACCACCTGTTCGACAAGATGCAAAGTGCGGTTGTTGGGACACTCTGTACCACCTCTTGTGTTCATTCCACATGCACACATTGGAGTTTGGGATATTCACGCACCCTCAGAGGGGAGGTAGAAGCACGTCTGCAGAAGTGAAAGGTCGACATGCGTCTATTGGTTGCCTGTGTTGTTATGCAACCCCCGACCTCATACCTCGCCTCTTTGCCCCCATCTGCCCATTTCCCTGTTGTGATTGCATCAGGTTTGCGCTCGCTCAAGCTGCGGAACTGCCACTTCAACATCCGCCTCTTCGCCCCAGATCGACGGCAGCACCGCCTTCATCACTTGCTTGAGGTGTGTTGTGTGTTGTGTGCATGCGTGTGTGCATGTGCATGTATGTGTGCATGTGCATGTGTGTGTGTGTGTGCATGTGTGTGTGTGTGTGTGCATGTGTGTGCATGTGTGTGTGCATGTGTGTGTGTGTGTGCGGGCGTGTCTTGTCTGTTTCCTTGCACGCCATCCCATCCCTGCTGGTGTTTCCCTTGGCTTTGTGTCTCATTTCACCTCCCCTCCTGTCTCCCATCAGCTCTGACACACTCCGTCCCCCTCACATCCATTCACCATCACGACGGTTCACCATACAGCACCTGCCCAACTTGGAAGAGCTTGAGCTCACCCACTGCGCCAACCTCTCGTTGGAGGCGTTTGATGCGCAACTTGCGTTTCATGGGCGCCACGCCCTCCAGTCCCTCACGCTGGACAATTTGTCCGGTTTGACGGACGGCATTTTGACGGCAATGGTGGAGGCGACGCCCCACCTCAAGCGCTTTTCGCTCAAACGCTGCAATTCCGTGACCAAGACAGGCATTGCCTTTGTCGCAGCAACATGCTCGCAGCTTGGTCGGTTGTCTTGTTGTTGGTGGTGTTGGTTGGTGGCGTTGGTTGGTGGTGTTGTTCAAGTTGTGGGTGGCAGTGCTTGCACCTTGCAGAGCCGAGTGGACTGGATGCACTTTTCTGCCACGTTTCTTTGTTTGACTTTGCCAGTCGTCTAACAACGAACGGTCTCACCCGGATAGCTTTTGCTGACCAGCACACACACACACACACACACACACACACACACACACACACACACACACACACACACACACACACACACACACACACACACACACACACACACACACACACACACACACACTCATCAGAGGAGCTGTCGTTGGTTGCGTGTGGAGAGGTGACGGACGATGTTATCACGGCGGTTGCTGAGCTTCGGCCAACGCTTCTGCACCTCAACCTCACATCGTGAGTTGTGCCCCCCTTTTCATTGCCTTTGTCTTCTGTGATTGTTGGTGCACACATGAGGCGGTATTGTGTACCCGCACCCCTACTTGTATCCCACATTCAACACACCGCACCACACCGCACCACAATATACACCCTCATCTATCGCCACAGGAGCGCTGCTGTGACGGCCGCTGGCGTGGATGTTGTGCTACACGAGTGCACGCGTCTCTCCTCGCTTGTTCTGCGTGGTTGCCCATTTGCCCGTCCATCCCGCGAAGCCCTCGCGCTGGCCAGGCGAAGGGGTGCGTGAGGTGGCCTGTGCACACGCGGGCAGGGGCGCTGTTTTGCTTGTTTCAGTCATGCACGAAAGGCCGCAGACAGATTGACACACACACGCACACACAGACACACACACACACAGACACAAACACAGACACACGCACACACAGACACACACACACACACAGACACACACACACACACGCACACGCACGCACGCACACACCACTTGCTTGTATTGCTACCACCCTTCGCTTTGTTCTGCTGTCTCATGTTCACCCCCCCCCCCGCCAAATTCTCACATTGTCCTCGCGCTGTTACTCCTAGGCGTTGACATTACGCTGCCGTATCTGCCTGCCGTGACCGCGCCATCGTGTGTGGATCCCATGCAAGAGCTCCGGGCGTGGGACGCATCTCTGATGTCTGCTGCATCGGTGCAGATGGACGAGAGCGAACGCAACCACCAGCGCGCTGCCTTCCGGGGCGTGCATGCTGCCGGCGTGGTTGTTGAGGGGGAGGTGCCCTGCTCCTGTGCAGTGACGGCGTGCCCCTGGTGCTGCGCGATTGTGCGCATTTGTCAGCGTCATGATCACCTCACCATCTGCTCCGAACTTGTGCTTCCATGCTTCATCGGTGCGTAGACGCCCGCTGTGCGTGTGTTGTGTGCTTTGTGTGTGTTTGTATGATTATTGTGTGCGTGCGATGTGTGTGTGTATGTGACTGCAAGTGTGTGTGTGTGTGTGTGCAATGTGTGTGATTGCGCGCATGTGTGTGCGATGTGTTCGTCAGCTCACCCAACTTCGCCACGCATCTCTCCATTGCACAGGATGCGGTGCGCAGCTGCCACGTCGGGAACAGACAGCTCACCGCCTCCACTGCCCGAGTTATGTCGTGAAATGCGGCTTCAACCCGGCGCACTCCATTGCACTACCAAAGGTGCGGACACGCGCACACGTGATGCGTTGCTTGTACGCTCATTTGTCTGTTGTCGCTGGTGGTGCTATCATTGTTGCGTGGTTGCTTGTCACGAATGCAACGTGACGTGTGTGCATATGTGTATGTGTGTGTGTGTGTGTGGGGGGGGGTGCATTTGCTTCCGCAAGTGCCGTGCTGCGTGTGCGTGGGGGGCTCACTCTCTGCCCAACAACAATGTGGCGTCGACCTTCACAGTACCGTCGACATTTGGGCGAGCACCTTCAGACGGGGTACTGTGCGCCGTTGCCAGAGTACGCGCGTCCCTGCCCCATGGTTTCCCACGGGTGCTCCTTCTCCGCAGGCTCCTTTGCCGCCGTCGCACGCCACATGAGGTGTGAGTGTGTGAGTGTGCGTGTGCGTGCGTGTGCGTGCGTGTGAGTGTGCGTGTGCGTGCGTGTGCGTGTGTGATACAGTGTTGTCACCATCACCTCACATCACGTGTTACGCCAACCTGCACCGTTGACTGTAGTATGACCCCACTCACACCACACCCACCCATACTGCATGCACGTATGTGTGCAAACAGGGAGTGCTCGTTCTGGACGGTGTCGTGCCCCAGCTGTGAGGCGACGGTGGTACGCAGCGACTTTTACACGCACGTGCGTGCGTGCATCCCAGCAAACCGCGTACACACGAGCATGTCACACGTCATCCTGCGCGAAGAGCAGCAGTGGGTGCTGCATTCAACAGCATAAACAGTAGTCACATATCACTGCGTCGCTCAACAAGCAAGCAAGCAAGAAGCAAGCAACAGCTGTCACGATGCCGCCCATCCACTGCTTGGCTGTGTTTGATGTGCGCAAGCTCAACGCAGGTGAGATACCCTTTGTTGCGACCGTTGTTGTTGTTGTTGTTGTTGTTGTTGTTGTTGTTGTTGTTGTTGTTGTTGTTGTTGTTGCTGCTGCTGCTCTCTCACTCACTCACACACACACACACACACTCACTCTCTCTCACTCTCACTCTCCCCCTCTCTCTTGCCCTCTCTTCTGATTCCAATCTCTTTTTTCAATCACTGCCCATGTTGCCTCCGACAAACCCGCATTGCCACCCATCTCACATCCCACGACGTGTCTGTGTTGTACTGCATCACATCTCTGTTTCACTCGCAGCTGACCTGCGAAAGGTTGGCGAGGTATACGGGCGCCTGTCATCATACGAGTGCAGGGGTCGCTACGGCTTTCTGGTAAGCAGCTTTTTGGGCGGGGTGGGGGGGGGGGGAAACGCACGCTTGGTGTTTGCTCGGGACCACATCAAAGCAGCCACCCTCCTTCATGCCCTCACTTGCTGGTATGCGCGGTGTTTGTATCACTGACGCTGCTGCTGTGTAAGAGGTATGAGAACCCGCAGGATGCGGAGCGAGTCCTTCGCGAGGTGAAGGAGACGACATACCTCGGCATGCGCCTACGATTTGAGGTGTGCGTGTGCGTGTGTGCGTGAATGTGTGCGTGAATGTTGTGCGTGTGTGTGCGTGAATGTGTGCGTGCACATGTGTGAGTGTGCGTGTGTGCGTGAATGTTGTGTGTGTGTGTGTGTGTGTGCGTGTGTGTATGTGTGTGTGTGTGTGTGTGCGCGTATGTGTGTGCGCGTATGTGTGCGCACATGTCGCTCGATCGAACCACTGTAATTATTTAGTTGTCACACCACAGCTGAAGATGAACACTCACGTTCTCTCCCTTCTGCTCCGTTCCCCCCCTCTCACTCCCAACCCACCACCCCACCCCACACAACGCCGGCAGCCCGCCAACTCTCAAAATGGAGAGTACCGGTACCGTCCAGACCCATCACGCCGCGTCCCCTCAGCAACAACAACTACAACCGCGGCAGCGACAGCAGGCCTTGACCTTGACCCGCCTGCTGCCAAGAGCAGATTAGACCGAGAGAGGAACAAGTACATTGCTTCATGATTTCGCGGGCACACCGGCAATCATTATCGTCAACACTTGCCTGCCTCTTTGTACTGTTGTAATTGAAGCTTCGTCACCAATGTCTGTGTGGGTGTGCTTGCGCTGTCTTGTCTGAAGTGCCAACACAACCGACCTCCCCTCTCTTTCCTTTTGTCTGTGCAGTCACGGACTAAGTGCCATGTGTGTATCTTTGCAACGTTGCACCCACGAGTACAACGCCAGGCACGCAGCAGACAGCCTCCTCAAGCCAGGCAGCACCGGTCCCCAAACAAAAGCAGCTCGCACTCAACACGAGGGCGAGAGCAGTGGAGGCAGCGGAGGTGACGAGAAGGGTGGTACAGGTGGATTAAGGCGCAGAGCAACAAAAGGGAGAGCAGAGAGGGGAGAGTCTCAGAAACGAAACCACACGGGAGCGTCACAACAACACAAACACAACCGAAACAGCAACTGATGATATCTGCGTGTTTGTGTGACGTTTACTCCTCAGCCTCCTCGAGCTCCTCCTCCTCCTCATCAACGACCTTAGTGCCGAGCTCTGCACCAGCACCAAACACCAAGCCAGAAAAAAGGAGCAAGTGTGAGTGCAAGTGAGCGAGCGTCAGCAGCGTTGTGGTGTGAGCGCGATTGAGTGTGCGTGCGTGCAGGTGTTTGTGGGGCGGCATATCAAAAGTGATGGTCAGCTGTCGTCAGCATGGCGCACCCACACACCCACACTCACACACATCGACTCCACTCATCGCCATTCCCAACGACCACCCTTGTTTCGGTCGTCGCTTATACCAACACCAACTCACGCTTGAAGGTGGGGACATCGACAAAGGTGACAAGGGAGTACAGCTTGTTCTCGGCCTCCTCATCCTCGTTGCGCTTCCTGGAGATGCGCACGCGCACGCGGCGGGGCACGTTGCGGATACCACGGGACCAGATGAACTTGTTCAGGTCGGCGTGGATGCGCACGTCGGTGGTGCCCATGTGCTACACAGCACCACAGCAACAAAGCATCGACACAGCGACAGGCAGGCAAGAGGCGTGGTGAGCGTGGCGTGTCAGACGAGACAGGTCGGTACAGCGGCACACGCTGGCAGAAGAAAGAAAGAGGCCATGGATCATTTGCAGGCTTTGGGATGTGATGAGTGTGTTGGCGGTTGCGCGTGCGTGTGTGCCGCTTTGCCAACAATACATGGAGGGAAGGAAGTGCGGCAGCACAACTCGATGCTGCCCTCAGCGTGTGTCGTCCATCGGCACGACCGTCTTCGTTGATTCCCTCTGACACTCGCTCGCTCGCGAACCGACCAAACATCTTTCTGTGCCAAGCACCTCCTTCGCCTGCACAACAATGCACACACACTACTCGCGCCTGTTCGCGTGTGGGTTGCAAGCTGTACCTTTGTGGCGAACTTGCGGATCTCGGAGATGGCACGGGGTGCACGCCTCTTGAAGCCACTGCAAACAAGAGCACGCGCGCGCGCGTGTGTGAGTGTGCGTGATTTTGGTGAAAGGGTGTGTGCATGTGTGCATGTGTGTGTGTATGTCAGCGGCATTGTGCCGTGTGCTGGCAGTTGGACAGCGTCTGCAGCAACTTCAGCGCCATCGGTACATCGGTGTGTGCTGGTTCGTGCGCTCGTGGGAGGGTGAAAACTCACATGCCGTGGATACGCTTGTGCAGGTGGATGGTGAACTCGCGGGTCACGAGCTCCTGCTTCGCCTTCTTGTCGCGGGCCATGGCTGTGGTCTGTGTCTGTGTGCCTGATGATATGTACGAATGTGGTGTGTGCATGTGTGTATGTGTGAGCGGCGGGTGTACGTGTGTGTGTATTTGTATGTGTGCGTGGTGTGGGTGATGTGCGCAGGCGAGGCAGGGGAAGAACACATCGATAGGAACAGAAACACACAATGCAGTACGGCACAGAGCAAAGAGCACAGAGCACAGAGCACAGGGCACACAGGGCACACAGGGCACAGAGCACATGCGTGCCACCATCCAACACCAGCAGCCCCATCCAACCCCCATATCGAGGCTGGCGCACCAAAGAGAGGCAAGAGGTCAGGCAGTGTGCTGAAGACGAGGTGGGAAAAAAGGCACCCACACCGCGTGCGCACGTCTCAATTCCCGCCCAGGTGGGTTTTGGCCTGTCAAAATCAAGTCATTTTTGACTTCAAGGCACAAACAACAAAGGTAAATTTGACCAAGGACACAGCAGAGAGCAGAGGGGAACGACGACGACGACGATGGCTGAGTCAAGATACAACATCCACTCGCAGCAGGAGCACCGTGAGTGGCTCTGTGTTTGTGTGTTTGTGTGTTTGTGTGTTTGTGTGTGTGTGTTGTGTGTGTGTGTGTGTTGTGTGTGTGTGTGTGTGTGTGTGTGTGTGTGTCTGTGTCTGTGTGTGTGTGTGTGGCTGTGTGTATGATGGCCTCTCTCTCTTTTTCTCTCTCTCTGTGTGAGTACGTTACAATGCGCCTTCTGTGCCTGTTTCATCAACTCCCGCGTGCGCTCACCCTTTTCCTTGCGAACGTGCGCGGTATTTGTTTGTTTGTTTGTTTGTTTGTTTGAGCAGTGCAATCCAAGTACATGGGCACTGGACATGCAGACACAACCAAGCAGTACGTTGCACGCCGCGCACGCTCTGCGATAGATTGCTAAAGTTTGCTCGTTCGTTGTCCACTCACAACTGACACAAAAACACGCACACACTGTCCCTCTCTGCCTCTCTCTGTCTCTCTCACTCTCTCACATGCACATGTACACACGCTTGTGCATTCTGAAACCTACTGACACACCTCTTCCCTGCGTACGTGTAGTGAGTGGGTGACCAACCAGCACCGCGACACATACACATCCATGATTGGCCACGAGGGCTTGATGGACTACGTCTCCATTGCAGAGAACGAATCGCGAGAACGCACGCGATTCAACCTCCTCCAGGTCAGTCATGTCTGTGTGTGTGTGTGTGTGTGTGTGTGCGTGTGTGTGCTTTTTGGGGTCCACATGTACCAAGCGTGCATGGTTGCTCCTGGTATGCGTCCACAAGGCCGCAGGGTGCCCTATTCCCTTGCTTCTTGCCGCTCATCCACACATAACGTGCACGTTCACTACGTGCACAACGTGCACTGTACTGCAATACGGTTTGTCTTGCCCGTGCCTCACCGACCGGCGTCATGTTACGATTTGCAAACACGCCATGCAGAGGATGATTTCGCCCTGTGGACCGCCCGTGAAGAAGGCGGATGCAGAGTAACGACAGCTTGCAGGCAACAGAACCTGCACGTTTCCTGCTTTGAACGCGTTGTCCTGTTGCGAAGCGTAATTGCAGCATGCATGGTCGCTTGTTTGAGACATCCCCAGAGCTGTTGCGGCACATGAATGCGTCTGTGTCTGTGTGTGTGCGTGTGTGTGCGTGTGTGTGTGTTTGTGTTTGTGTGTGTGTGTACATGAGGGGTGTTGTTACTTGAGGCCTGTGTGATGCCGAATAGACGTTTAATCAACCACGATCTGTGGGTCGCCATCTTTGCGTGTGCTTCATGACGACAAGCATGTGCTGTGTGTGCGGATGGCTCTTCGTTTTCGATCCCATTGCCACCTGTGTAGTGTAGCCGTCTGTTGTGTGAACACGTGACAAGCCACAAGAACAACGAGGGTTGGGTTGTGGTGGTGATCGGAAGGGTGGGTTGGTTGTTGGTTGGTTGTTGTCGCCGTTGTTGCCTAGTGCTCCATGCTTGTCCTTGTTTATTCGATCCTGCAGCTGTCCTTTTCACTCGTTCTTCCGCGCCTCCGCTGCCACCCCTGTGTGGTATGGTGTGGTGTGGTGTGGTGTGGTGTGTGTGTGCATGATGTGAGCGTATTGGTTGTTGAGTGCGTGTGCGCTCTCGATCAACAGAGCTCTCGCTCTCTTTCTGTTCCCTTTCCCTGTTTTGATCCCACCCCATCGCATGGTGTCACACGTACCCTGGGGCCTGTCTGCCAAGTTGCGCTGTCGATAGCGCAACAGAAACGACCGCCGCCACTGCACCATCTTGTATCCAAACATCGCGTACACCAATCCAACCAGCAGCGCAACAAGCGTAAGCCGCGCCCACATCACAAGCTGGCACAATGTGCGCGCGTGTGTGTGTGTGTTTCGTGTGTTTGTGACAAGGGCAAGTTGAACGTGAGGAATGATCACTGCATGGCAAACATGTGCGGAGAGACACAGACAGACACACGCACACATACACAGACAAACACACACACACACACACACACACAAACGAAACAAACCCAAGCTTGGCGGTCCTGATGGGTTCTCAATTCCTCAAGGTGAAGATAGCGATTGCGATACCCAGCTGGAAGCTCAAACTGTCGATGTGTTTGAAGTGGAGTGGTGGTGAACAGAAGACAGCGTAGTCAACAAACCGCACACAGACACCTCCTCCCCTCACACACACACACACACTCTCTCTCTCTCTCTCACACACACACATATATGTGCACCCTTCCCTCGTACCTGTGATGGGAGCGGGAAAAACGCCTCGAAGAAGCTCTGAATTGCGTCCACGACCTCGGCGCTCTCGGGCAACCTGCACCGCCATCATGGTTTGATTTTGCACATGCACGAGCAAATGACAACAAGACGCAGGGTGAGCGTGGATGACGGTCGCACCACAACGATGGGGCTGCTTCGGTGTGCATGTCCATGTGTGCCCATGCGTGTGCATGTGTGTGTGTGTTTTGTCTGTATACGTACTCATGTATGTGTGTGTGTGTGCATGTGTGCACAAGTGCGCACGTGTTAGCGTGCTTGCGTGAACGTACGTGTGATCGATGTTGTCGTTGATGCAGATGAACTTCTGCGGCGTGCGGCGGATCGAGTCAAGTTGGTCCAGCGCCTGACGAGAGCACACGAGGGAATCAATGCCACCAAAGCAGGTGGTGAGATGGTGTGTCACGTACCGCTTGTGTTTTTGTTTTGAAACTGAAGATGCCTGCAGGCAAAGCAACCAAAGTCTTCATGTCATCACACCTTCGTCACGTTTGCGTCGAGCATTTTGAAGGCAACATTGACTTCATCGGACTCAATCTGAGCAACAGCGGCGACGACGAGGCGTTTAGCGATCATTGTTGGACGCTACCGCAACAACGCACAGCAAGCTATCGCAGTACACAAACACAGACAAACAGACAAACAGACAAACAGACAGACAGACAGACAGACACATGCACTACACACCCACATGCACTACACACACACACACACAGACACACACACACACACACGCACACACAGACACACACAGACACACGGACACACACACAGACAGACAGACAGACAGACAGACAGACAGACAGACAGACAGACAGACAAACAGACAGACACATGCACTACACACACGCACACACACGCACACGCACACACGCACACACACACGCACGCTCACTGATTCACAGAAACAGACTCTTATAGGGAATCAAAGAATGGGAGGTTTAACCTGTCCGGCGGGGGCTCGCGACTGTGCTTTGATAGTAGGAAAAAAACGAGATAGATGGCTAATTTTGGGATTCGCCGTTTCTCGTTCTGGGGATGCGACGCTTGATCAAATTAGTGATTTCGCCCATCCCCATGTGTGACCGGCACGCGTGTACATCTATTTCTCTAATAGATACAAGAGGGGTATAGACACGGAGGTGGTGGTTATTCTGTAGGGTGT